TGAGACCATGCAACAGCCTCTTTCCTAATCACCCCAACTCCAAGAGCCCCTTGGTGGTGCCCAATCCTGCTGAACAACCCTGCACAACACTTTGCCTTGGCCTCTGGGGTTGCCTGAGACCATGCCATCTCAGGTGTTTCTCCTACTAATCTGTGAACAATGTAGCTGGCCACCACATTCACCCCACCCCACACTCTTCCTGGGGTGGCTTCTTTAGGAAAGTGGAGGGGAAAATAGAGATGCTCTTCGCATAATAGTGCACCGAGTTGTGAAGCTGTCAGTGTTGACAAAAGAAAGGTTTGTTGGCCCTCCCCGGTTGGGCTCAGTGGATAGAGCGTTGGCCCTCGGACTGAAAGGTTTTGGGTTCAATTCTGGTCAAGGCATGTATCTGGGTTGCAGGCTGAATCCCTGGCCCTGGTCTGGGCATGTGCAGGAGGCAACCAATCTATGTGTCTCTCTCACATCGATGTCTATCTCTCTCTCCTCCCTTCCACTTTTTCTAAAAATCAATGGAAAATATCCTCAGGTGAGGAGCAACCAAAAAAAAAGAAAAGAAAGAAAGAGAGAGAGGAAAAGAAAGGTTTGTTGGTTTTGTGGCTGTGCCTCTCTGAGGCTCAACATGGAGGGCCATCTTCCTACATCCTTTCCCCTCCCAAAGTTTCCTCACCAACTCCAGGACTGTAAAGGTTGACAGAGCCAAGATCCTGGGCTGATGGAAGGGCCTACAAAACCCAATGTGTGTGTGTGTGTGTGTGTGTGTCTGTATCTGTGTGTGTCTATGTGTGTGTGTCTGTGTATGTCTGTGTGTGTCTGTGTGTGTGCCTGTGTGTATCTGTGTGTGCCTGTGTGTGTCTGTGTGTGCCTGTGTGTATCTGTGTGTGCCTGTGTGTGTCTGTGTGTGCGTGCCTGTGTGTGTTTGTGTCTCTGTGTGTCTGTATGTTTCTGTGTGTGTGTTTGTGTCTCTGTGTGTCTGTATGTTTCTGTGTGTGTGTGCGTGCCTCTGTGTCTGCGTGTGTGTGACTGTGTGTCTGTGTGTGTGCCTGTGTGTCTCTGTGTGTGTGCCTGTGTGTCTCTGTGTGTGTCTCTGTGTGTCTCTGTGTGTGGCTGTGTGCGTGCCTCTGTGTGTGTGTGTGTGTGTGTGTGTGTGTGTAGGGGATCTTTGGGGTCAGTGCAGAAGACCCCCAGTGCCCCCAGCTCCCAAGCAATGACTGACTGTGGCAGGGACATTGCCCGTTCCTGAGAGACACAGGCTCCAGGATGGCCTTGCTGAACCTCCTGTAGACGACCTAGGGGTCCATCACACTCCCTCTCTCCCTCCCTCCCTCTCTCCTTCACTGGCTCAGGCTTGTATGGCAGCGGCAGGCTCTCCCAGTGTCTCTGGACCCCTCCTTATTTCCTCTCACAGTCACTTCTCCAAATAAAATCCTTGATGTTTGGTTGCAAGTTGGTGACTGCTTCTTGGAGGATGTGGACTAACACAATTGGTCTGTGTATATTCTCTCCACCCACCCTCAGCCCCAACCAAACGCAGCTCTCTGAAGAAGGTGCCGTAGCAGGGGGCGAAGGAACATGGAGGGAGTGCCCTCAGTGCTCCTCCTGCCGGCCAGTGAGGGGCATGGGGAGAACGTGCGCCCCTCCCTCCCATCTCGGCCCCTACCTCCATGTCTTTGTCGGTTCCCAAAGAAAGCCAAACTCTAGTGTCCTTCTAACCCTCACTCAAGGTCAAGTCAGTTCGCGGTGAAGCCGCATGGCACCTGAGCTAGAAGTTGGAACACTCTTCCCTCCATCTGCGGCCCAGGTGTGGAGGGTGGGCAGGGCCTGCAGGGACTGACTGGTGCCTCCTGGGTCCTGGCCTGCGGTCTCCCTGGGGCCTGTTTGTGATTGTGGGGTGGACGGCTACTTGGGTGTCACCGGAGGAAGGAGGCCTGGGCTGTGGTTCCATCTGCCCACCAGGCTCTCGGGGCACAGGCAGCCAAGGTGGCGTTCTCCAGGGAGGCCCAGCAGCCTCAGCCTCAGGTTCCGACAGTTGCTCTGTTGTCCACAAACAGAGTGGGTTTTAGAGGCTTATTCTTTTCTGTATAAACAAACCTGACCACACCCTGGTGACCATAAAACTCGTGATAAGCTACAAACACTCACAAAACACCTAACTCCTAGACTACTGGGAGGATTAGATGAATAACTTGCCAAAGTTCCAGGCACAGGGTTTTCTGTGGGGACCAGCGGTTTTCAGCAAGGACGGTAGCGACCTCTAGTGGCAAGTGCGGGGTGTTTTTTAGTGGACACTGACAGGCCACTGCTGTCAGAGGCAGGAACCAGGGGTCGCCTACACTGCACAGAGCAATAAAGTACCATGAGCACATGCCCTCTGTTCTACATGGCAAAGTAGGTGTTGGGTTTTTGTTGTTGTTGTTGTTGTTGTTTCACAAGTTTAAGACACTGAATTTTCCAGGAACACAGCTACGGGGCAGATTGAGGGAATTTCACAATGTCTTCTGTTTGGCACTTTTCCGGGAGTTGTTCACTGATTTGGAAATCTTATCACGGACAGTACTTCCACTTAGTGGCCAGGTGGTACCCGTGCGTCAGTCTGCATTCGTTACGTCACCTCTGACCCGTGCGTGTCTCTCAGTGAGGCTCTTCTCACGCGCTCTGCGCACACATCCCCTGGGGACCTTCCTAAGGGACAGATTCAAATTCCTGCAGGTCAGAGGTGGGGCCTGAGATACGCATTTCTCACCAGCCCAGCAGAGGCCGAAGCTGCCAGGTCCTGGTGCAGTCACAGCTGAGCAGCGACATGCACAGAACATGTGTTACTGTGAGTTACACCTCTTATACCCGTCCTCGTATGACAGTTAGGACATTGTCTTAGGTCGAGTTCTCCAGGAACCGGGCTCGGAGGGAGATTTCTGTGCAGGCGGTGAGCTGGGTGTGCCCTTGAAAACACCCTGAGGGGTGGCAAAGGCAGCACGGGGCAGAGGAAGAGGTTGGGCAGCGAAGCAATCACAGCAGAGGCCTCAGTTTATCCCTTGGGGAGCTCAAGACCTGGGTGGCCCTAAGGAGATGTCTCCGATTTAAGCAGGGGACCGGCTTCTGCTCTGACCCCAAAGGATTCTGGTCGGGTTTTTTTTCCCCCGCCCATCCTTTAATTCATTCATTCACTCATTCATTTATTCATTAAATTCTTACTGAGTGCCCAAACCCACTCTGGCCTCTTTCCCTCTGCGGCTGCCCCTCCACCATGTCAGCTTGTACCCGCCCTCACTGACTCATGTCTGTTGAGATGTGTGGAGACTGGGCTCAGGCCAGGAGAGCAGGGGTGGGTCCTGCGCAGGAGGCCCTGGTGGTCCTTTCACAGCAGCTGTGTCCTCCCTGGTTGCACTGGCCCCTCCCTGGGGCAGTTCCACCTCTGCCCCGAGTCTGGTCCTCACGCCTCAGATCCAGCCCCAGGGCCCCAAGGAGAGCCAGGCAAGGGCCCAGGTGGGGGAACAGGGTGGCCATTTTCTGTGCAAATGAACACACACACGTTCTGCACATTCCTGATGTCCATCCCGGCGCCTGCATTGACCCCTGGGGAGTCAAGACCCGGTAACCCAGAGTAACTCTCTAATGCACCAAAAGCCACAGTTCTTACAATGGTCTGTTTCTACACTGTTTGATTTCCTCTGAGTATAGGACACCCACACACACATACAGAATTCAGAAAGTTGAAAAACGTTTATAAAAATAAAAGAACTGAAAATCACCCACAATTTCACCACCCACAGTCAGGCACTGCTAACATCAAGATGAGTGAGGTTCTGGGTTCTTTTCTCTGCAGAATTACAACTGAGCTGCATTTTCCCTTTGATTTTCCCGAGAGAGTGGAAGGGGAGACAGACACATCAACAGGACAGAGACACAGTGATTGGTTTCTCTTACACACACACACACACACACACACACACACACACACACACACGTCCCGACTGGGGGCAGGGATCCAACCTGCAACCCAGATACGTGCCCTTGACCAGGAATCCAAATGCATTTTCATTAAGACCTTAGCATGTGATCAAGGAACACGTGTTCCAGCAACATTGCTGTCCACCGATGAGGGCTCCACCCCTCCCAGCACCTTCTCCTGCGTCCCTAGCCTCTAGCTTGTCCCCCTTCCAAAGGGGAAACTGCCATTTGTGCCGCGCGCTTTACATTCTTTCCCTCATCGGACCTTTCAACCGCCTTAAAATATGTTTATCGCACCCATTTCACGGAGGAAGGAACGCAGGCTCACACGGTCTAAATAGTTTGCTGGAAGTGGCCAGCGGAGCACCTAGTTCTCTGGGTTCCGAAGCAGTGGGCATTTTCCCTCGGGGATTTTCCAGGCTGGAGAAGAGACTGGAGGAGGATTCAGGAAATATCTCCTGGTCCATGTGGAGCAGCGGTTCTCAACCTGTGGGTCGCGACCCCTTTGGGGGGCGAACGACCTTTTCACAGGGGTCGCCTCAGGCCATCGGAAAACACATAGATCATTACATATTGCTTTTGTGATTAATCACTATGTTTTAATTATGTTCACTTTGTAACAATGAAAATACATCCTGCACATCAGATATTTACATTACGATTCATAACAGTAGCAAAATTACAGTTATGAAGTAGCAACGAAAATAATTTTATGGTTGGGGGTCACCACAACATGAGGAACTGTATTAAAGGGTCGCGGCATTAGGAAGGTTGAGAGCCACTGAGTGGAGGTTGTTGGGCTAGTGCCTGTCCTGTCCTGAGAACAAGGCCGAGCCTGTGGCCAGAGGCGTGGCTAAGCGTCCCCCAGGCATAGGTGACTCTGTGGGGCCTGTGCTGGGACACTTCTGAGAGTGCAACACCCAGTGAACTAGCAACACCCGGGAGCAATGGGCACAAACAGGAATGTGCCCGAGACACTGGGAGTGATGGTCGCCCTGCTCAGTGGAGGCGGGTGTTATAGTAATAAGTTTAGTTAGTATAAGTTAGCATAAGCAAATTCCATTATTTTTTTATTATTAGAGTGAATTTTAACTTTACTTAGAAGAGGAACTTAATTTGTGTGTGTGTGTGTATGACCCTGATAAGTACCTTGTAACTCCCTGCGTGTGTATCCTGATAAGCCCAGAAGGCCCCACCGGAGCACACTGATATGAGACACTGAAGAAGCCCACCCATGGGGTATAAAAGAAGGACTCTCACAGCAGCAGTCAGACGCCTGTCTGCCCTCCACAGACAAGATGTTCTCCTTGCCCCTGGAAACTGCCGTTCCTGCTCTGCTTCTGAGCCCAAACTGTTAGAGGCCTCTCTTCGTGTCAAGAGACCGAGCACCTGCAGCTGCGTACCTGACGACCTCCGTGTGTCTCTGTCAGTGAGTGTCTCCGGGTGGCCTGCCAAGGACTGAAACCCATCAGCTCTCTGGTAAATAAATCTGTGTGATTCTTGCATTTTGTTTGTCTCCTGTGTCTTCTCTCTTCTTAGTTTTGGTTTAAGCTCGGCCTAATTAATAATAAGTACCCTTTGACGTCTGTATTGGTATATCCAAATGAGGCGGACTGGGTCACCTGTGCATAGGTTCCCACAGAAGTGGAACAATGGGGAAGGGTGGGGGGAGGGCTCTCCCAGGGGATTGCCCAGCGTGGCCAGAACACACAGGCTCGTCCCCTTGGGTGAGCTCTGGGCACCAGGAGAGGTTCCAAAAAGTCCCAAGGTGCCTGGTGCCCTGGCTGGTGTGGTGAGTGGTTAGAGCGTCAGCCTGCACTGGAGGGTCTCGGGTTCAATTCCCAGTCAAAGCCAGTACCTGGGTTGTAGGTCCGCTCCCCGCTCCCCATCAGGATGTGTGTGTGGGAGGCAACCAATCGATGTGTCTCTGTCACCTCGATGTTTCTCTCTCTCTGTTCTCTCTCCCCGTCCACTCTAAAAAAGTCAATGGGAAAATATCCTCACTCCTCGGGAGGGGAATTTTCTTAAAAAACCACAGAGTTCCCTGGTTTCTTCCGTTGTCCTCTGACTGTCTTCATGGCTGGGCTCCTAGGATCCAGTTTGGTAGCCACACTGGGTGCTTATGCAGCCGGCAGCTATGTGGGTGCTGGAGTCACCCAGATCTGAATTTGATTCCAGAGCCATCTCTTTCCATGGCTTTGGGTAAAGTCAGCTGACCTTTCTGACCCTCAGCTTCCTTGTCTATAAAATGGGACCAGTAAAATGTAATGTGTGGGTTATTATATGAGATACGGTCTGTGAAAGTATCGACTGCTTAGTAGGTGCTCGATAAAAACAGTGTTAGCTTCTGAGGTGGGGTTGTGGGCGGGTGGGAGTGGGGTCATCAGGGTGATGTCAATTAAGTGATGGGGCCAAGCTTTCTAGACCAGGGTGAAGCCTCGATGGCCCGTGGCTTTCTCCCACATGGACACCTCAGGAGCACTGACCTGGGAGCAGATCCCTGTTCTAGCCTGGGGCCAGCGACTGGAGACTCTGGGCAGTAAATGGGGGCAGGTGTGTGGGGAAGAAAACCAGAGCCTGGAGCTACACCAAGCCAGCAGTGAATTTTCCTTTTTCCCTTGTTCACTGGCATCTCCCAGCCTGAACTCAAAGACAACTGAGTGGATAGAGCGCAGACTGAAGGGTCCCAGGTTCAATTCCAGTCAAGAGTACTTGCCTGGGTTGGGGGCTCGATGCCCAGCCCCAGTTGGACGGGGTGCATGCAGGAGGCAACCAATTGATGAGTCTCTCTCACATCGACGTTTCTCTCTGTCTCTTCCCCTCCCTTCCACTCTCGCTAAAAATCAATGGGAAAACATCCTCGGGTGAGGATTAACAAAGAGGAGGGAGGAGGAAGAGGAGGGAGGAGGAAGAGGAGGAGGAGGAGGAGGAAAGGAGGAGGAGGAGGAGGAAGAAGAGGAGGGAGGAGGAAGAGGAGGAGGGGAGAGGAGGAGGAGCTCTCTATTTCTGGTCAAAGGAGCAGAAAAGGGGGCTCCTAGGGGTTAAAGTGAGTGGAGCGAATCTAATTTTTGTTGTTGTTTTGTCTGTCCTTCTCCACCCAGTTTCCCGGGCAAACCTACAGCATCAGTGGCAGCAACAGCTGGACAGGCACCTAAAGCTCCAAAGGACAGGGTCTCCTCTCTGATTAGAGAATCTGTGGTCCCAAAAGTATGGAGGCGATCCCACTGCTCCTTGCCCTCTCCCCATTCCTGGTAACACGCTTCCAATGATCAGAGCACCGGTGTCTGAGGGTGTTCTGCAAAGCACTGGAGGGTAGGCGTGGAGTCGCAGGATAGCACAGGGAATAGTCAGTGGTACTGTAATAACTACGCACAGTGTCAGATGGTACTGGACTTATCGGGATGATCACTCAGTAAGTTACAAAAATGTCCAGCTCCTATGCTATACACATGAAACTAATATAATAATGTGTGTCAACTATAATTGAAATTTTTAAATAAAAAATTTTAAAAGTCAAGGAAAGAAAAGAATTAGAGAAGAAAAGTGGGAACTATTTCTCTACTCAACCAAAGGAGAATGATTAAGACTATTTGGCATGTGTACTGAATGAACTAAGTTTATGGCTCTATGATAATGTGAACATAATAAAAAACAAAATAAACAGAACAGAAACATCAAGATGTTAAATAAACAGTGGTTGTATTCAAGTATCTGGCTACAAATGAGCTGAAGATCCTATTTTTCTGTGTTCCAGAAATTCTATAATGAGAATGAGATAATGTGAACATAATAAAAAAAAAAAATAAACAGAACAGGAACATCAAGATGTTAAATAAACAGTGGTTGTGTTCAAGTATCTGGCTACAAATGAGCTGAAGATTCTATTTTTCTGTGTTCCAGAAATTCTATAATGAGAATGTCCTTTTGGCAAAAAAGAAAAGTGTTTTATTGGGGGTGGGGGGGGGCACTCTTTTATTTTGGTGGGAGGACAATAGGTGGAACAATAGTAACCTCCATGGCTGGTAACCCATTTCTATTTTGCTCATGACTATATCTCTGCCTCCTAGTACAGTGCCGGGCACACAATAGGAATACCGGAAATATTTGTTGATGAATAAATGGATGAATAAATGGATGGATGGATGGATGGATGGATGACATATTTGGAAATATTTAATACTTGAAATTTAAAAACACCTAATAGAGAAATAAAGGAATTAAGGTTTATTCCAAACAGGAACTATGTAATGGAGACAAAGAAAAAAAATTGCATAATAGAGGAAGCTGTTAGCCGTCTTCCCAGTGGATTAGGCTGTGGTTAAATACACAGAGCTCAAAACCCCAGGGCTACAGCAGCCAAACCACTTGTCCAAGACACAGGCCTGATGTTGATTTCTGCACCTTTGCCACCTGCTCTGACCAGCTCTCCCTCCCTCCATGGCCACGAGGAGCTCTGAGGTTCTGAGGGGAAGCAAGTAAATGAGAGACGTGGGCAGCTGCCTGGCCGAGACCTGGGGGCTTTCCCTCCAGGCTGTGTCCTTCCAGACGCCAGCCCAAAGGGGATGCTCACTGCCCTGAGGGGCCTCCCTGGTTCTGGCAGGGGAGGGAGGGACTGGGGAGGCAGTGACTTACCATCAGAGATAGTACGTGTTACAATAACACAATTTATGTTTTCTAAGTACCCAACAGTAGCTGCTCAGTTACAACAGGGCCACTGAGGGTAGGAGGGAGGGA